CGCCGGACGGGCCTCCTGCACGCACTCTCCTTCAGGGACTCGCCCTTCGGGGGGCTGCCCGCCTTCAGCTTGGCCCAGTCCCCTCCATCGCTCCCACTGGAGGCCTCGGAACCGCCCAAGGCTGCCCGGCCTGAGTCCAGCCCCCGGGCTCTGGAGCCACCGGCAGAGGAGCGCCGCCAGGAGGTGGTGTTAAGACAGAAGCCCCCCACGGGCCGCAAAGCCCAGCTGCCCCCCGCAAGACAAATGAACCTCGGGTTTGGTGACGAGTCCACTGAGCCAGAGGGCAGTGAGCGAGGGGAGCGGCCAGGCAGGAAGGTGGCCCCTTTGGCCACTGCTGAAGACTCCCTGGCTTCCATCCCCTTCATCGGTGAGTGATGGCACAGGTGGCGGTCTTCGGGGACTTGGTTGTCTGTGCTCTGTTGTGTCCACTCACCTGTCTGTGTGCTGTGGGCAATAGTCAGAGCTGGCAGGGTCATTGTGTTTCTCTGTCTGTTTTCCATTCATCCATCTGTCTGTGCATCCTTCAGTCCAACCATCCTTTCTTTTATCCTACCTTTCATTCTTTTACCCTTCCAGTCATCTTTTCATTTAACATTTTCTCCTTTTTTCCTCCTACCTGCCATCCATCTATCCATTTATCCATCTATCTGTCCAACTAGCCTTCTATCCACCCATTCACCCATCTATCCATCCATTCCCCCTTCCTTCCATCCATCTATCAAGTCTCTGTCTATGCATCCTTTCTTTCATCCACCTATCCATCCACCCATCCTCCATCCATCCAACCAATCTTCTATCCACCCATCCTTTCTTCTACCCACCCATTCATCCACCTATCCACCCATCTATCATCCATCCTTCCTTCCTTCCATCTATCCATCTTTCCTTCCATCCACCCTTCTATCTATCCATCCATCTAACCTATCCATACACCCTTTCTTCCATCCATTCTTTTTTCCTTCCTTCCTTTCTTCTTTCCTTCCTCCATTCACCTAGTCACCCAGGCACCCAGTTAGCCATCTAACCTTCTATCCATACACCCATCCACTTTCCTTCCAAACATCTATCCATTTATCCATCCACCATCCACCCATCTATCTACCCACCCACCCATCCATCCATCCTTCCTTCCTTCCACCCATCTGTCCATTTATCCTTCCACCCACCCATCTATCCATCTTTCTTTCCACCCATCTAACCATCTATCCATCCATCCATCCTTCCTTCCAACCTTCCTTCCTTCCACCCATCTATCCATTTATCCAACCATCCGTTTTACTTTCTTTCAGCATTCCTTCCTTTTGCCCTTTCTTCCATCTTGATTTTATCCTTCCTTTGTGCCTTTTATTCTTTGTTCCTTCCAACCATCCTCCATCTCTCTGACAAGGGTGGTGTCATACTCTCCTGGAGTGTGTGGTCCAGCGCGTGGGGAGGGGGGATGACGACAACCAGACAGCAGCTTCCGGTCGGCAGGATGGAGTGGGTAGTTCTAGGAGAACAGAGGAAAGCAAATCACCCGGAGTGGGGCATGGGGAGCAAGGGGGAGAATCTTGGGGAAAGAGCATTCTGGCTGAGACTTGAAGGATGAGAGAGTGTTAGCCGGGAAGGCCCCTGGGCCAGTTTGGCCTAGAGGGCAGAGGTGGATGTGTCCCCCTTCCACTCCAGCCCTGCTCCCCCGTCCAGGAGCCCGGCATCCAGGCCCCCATTTAGGGGATGGGTGGCAGCTGGGTGCTCCTGGCCTCCACCCCGCCCAGCCCACTCCCTGGACACACCCCTTAAGCTGCCTTCTCTGTCATCTGCCACCTTGACTGGTTCCTGCCGGGAGTTTCCCAGCCCTGCCTGGGGCTGTGGGCATCGCTGGCTAAGTCCAGCCAGCGGGAGGGCTGCCGAGGGAGGACCCCAGGAAAAATAGATGCTGCAATGTTTGCGGCTAAGGGGGCCCTTGTCACCAGTCTTGGAGAAATCCAGCCCAGAGCGTTCCAGGAGCTGGGCAGAGGGGCCCCGTGGCTTGCTCACAGAGATGTGTGTG